ATGAATTCTGTGCAAATGTTGTTTAAATCATATTTTGGTATGATGACTAGTTTTGTTGTCTTCTTGAATTTTACTTTTATTTTTGAAATGAGTACAGTCATGTGGTAATCCATGGAGAAAGCTGCTAACCTCCAGCTCCTTTTTTGTCTTAACTGAGCTACACACTTTAGATAAATAGAATGATCAAAATATGTAAACAATCCAAATAGTGAATTTTGCTGGCGAACTCCATGAAAATAGTGCCCCAGGAATTAAAGTCTTCATTCCAGCAGATTATAAATCTGGTGGATTGTAAATGTATTATAAATCCATAAACTGCATTTACATTGTTTGGGGTTCCTGTGTACAAAAAGCAACACGTGAAAAAGTAAAATATGACACCATATCCTGAAATATCCCTACAGCTATAAAGCAATCTTCTAAAGTCTTAGTAAATACCTTCTGTTGACAAAAGGAACCTTATTGCATAAGAAAACAGAACTGAAGCAGAACCAGAGAGTAGTGGCTTTCTCCCTGTCTTACTGCATGATATTGTAGCACTTCAGTTCTCTTCCTGTGGGAGATTATCATAAAAGCATACCTTATTTCTAGCTGGAAAAATCCATTTGACAAAAGATTCAGTTTACCATCTCCTGTGGAAGAGAACTGAAGTACTACAACATCATGCAGTAAGCCATAGAGAAAGCTGCTACCCTCCAGCTCCATTTTGGCATAAAATACTCGGAGCTACACAGTTAAATAACTGTTGTCTCACTTTTTATGGCTTCATACATAAAAATTCTGGAATTTTAGTATGATGATATATTTTGGACCATATTGAAGTGGGAAACTTTTTACCTGTTTTAAAAAAGTTATGGAATCTGGAGGATTTTGGGTGGGCACTTGGTAGCAAAAAAGAAGTTGGGGCTTCAAGCCACACATTTTCTACTCCAGGTCTGTGGAATAAGATGAATATATAAAAATACCTACCCTTCTCAGCTGCCTTTCCTTAATATGGATATATCTGTTATTAGTCTGAATTCGTGCTACCTTATCAAGATGTGAAAGAGCTTTCTGAAGTGTTGATCAAGATGTTAAATTATTTCCCACTTATGGCTAGTGGGCATACACAATTAACCTTCTTCAGCTACTGTTAACAACAGTAACATAATTGGGGTATAGAGAAATGATGTGGTTTAGTGATTATAATGTTAGACCAAGACAACTGATATTCAGGTTCAAATTCCTTCTCATTCATGAAGTTCCCATTTAAATGTGAAACAGAAAAAAACTGAGGTGTGTTTATTTTTTGCAAGAAGTTTTGAAAAAAAAACTTCTTTTCATTAAGTCATTTCACTCTAATGAATTTTTTTCAGTCCTGAGCTTGACCTACTTCAAAAGCTAAGATGAGGGTAAAATGGGGGCAAAAATCATGCACACCACGTTGACCTCCTGCAGGCAAGGGCCTGGGAAATATTCTACATGGTAAAGAAAGTGGTAAAACACAAGAATTCAGAGTCATGTCTTCACTGTTCAGTTTGCCAAGTTTTTCATAGCAGAGGTGGTTCTATTCTTATATTAAAGATGGAATCCAGCATCTCTGAGCTTCTTCATTTTCATTTTTGAAGTTGCTTTTGGGTACAGTAGTTAGCCAGGCTTGTAAAATGTATACTACATCCCAGCTTGTGTTGTTTTATAATTAGACTTTTCAGAGTCATCCAGGGAGCACAAAGATATATTCCTGACACTGAAAGCAATTCCCTTGGGCATCTTATAGTGCTATAGGCTCTCAAGACAGAAATGCAGAGTAACAATTGGAGAGAAAATCTGTACTTTCACAGCTGCACTGCCTATTTATGATTGTGAATCTGGAGAAATTCTGGCTAGAATTCTGCTGAAAGACAATGTTCCATTCCGACAGAACTATACTCCAGCTCCCTTCTTTCCTATTGTAGGGCAAAGCTGTCTCCAGTCCCACCACCACCTTGATATGGTCATTCAATGCATAGTGAAGAAGAGAAGCTGACAGAGATGTGTCTATCTTCATTCTTTCTTCCTCCTTAACAACAATAAAGATGTATACTTTTGTTGTGACAGTGTATATCACTAACAAGATGTCAGCTGCTGTATGTTGATTGGGGAAGGGGGGTCTTGTCTTGTGTGCCTCTCCCTTCCATAACCTATCCACAGCCATTAATTTATTGGTGTCTTTTTTTTGGGCCCCAACTTATATTTCAAGAACATTATTGAATGGCCATATCCTTTATTTATTACAGGATCTCAAGTGTCCCTGTGTCACTTCAGCTCATTTTCATTAACTGAAACAGTCTTCAGCAAATGTGTGTGTGTGTGTGTTCAACTTGAAGTATAGAAAATAATTTTTTTTGAGAGAGAGAGTGAGTTTTATCTCATTTAATTTATTGCACTACAATACAATCGGTAATATAACCAAAAGTTATGCCTTATTGCATTTTTTTTAAATCATTATTTGGCTGAACCATAATTTAATATGTCTGAAAAAAAACTACTAATTGTAAGATTATGTTTGGAAAATGTTGTTATGTCCCTTCAAGTCATTTCTGACATATGGCAACCCTAAGATGATCCTATCATGGGGTTTTCTAGGGCTGAGAGTGTATGACTCACACAAGATCACCCAGTGGGCTTCCATGGCTGAGCAGGGAATTGAACCCTGGTCTCCAGGTCCATAGTCCAGTGCTAAACCACTATAGCATGCTGGCTCAAATGTAATTGCTAGTCCCAAATAGAGCAGACAGTCTAAACATTTACTGAATGCTAAATGAATACATATGGATTAAATGGGCCTACTCAAATTAGGACTGCAAGTGGATTTAGACCAGCAAAGACTATTCCAAAAACAGTAGCAGAATCTACTGAGGCAACATTATTGTCCTAAGTGTCAGATATCCAATGGCCAACAAGTATGATCTTGATGTACATCTATAGATTTCCTTTACACAAAATGTTCTCTGCTGTGTTCAATGAACTTTTTTAAACTCATGCACTGTTAGACATAATGGCCTTCTTGGAAAGCCTATCAGATAAAGCCATATATATATATATACTTCTCACAGTGTGAATCAAATTGATAGCCTCAGATAATTTTTTGTTAGATATTGGTAGGGCTGGCATAGTTTTTTACCTTTAAAGTGTATTTTTCATAGCTCTCAGCAGTTATGATACAGTTGCAAATCCACTATTACTGGTGTGAACAGTGCCGTGGGCAGGAAGAGCCCACTGTGACTGTTGGGAGGGCAATATCAAAAATTATCACAAACCAACTGTCATCCTAACAATATTTATGGTATACTTATAAAACTACACTAATACTGACTTGGATGAAAAACTAGGTTCCACTGAATCTGAAATGTTGACAATTCTCAAAAGTCTTATCACAGTTACCTCCTGTTTCATCTAATTAGAAATGCCTATAAGACTAGTTTATTTTCCATATATTCTTCCTGGAGCTTCTGCATCAGAGTTGAACTGTAAACAAAAGCCTGGACTAAGCAAAGAAATCAGTTGTTAGTGAAAAATCAGAAGGAATTCAGAATAAGCCAGGATGCAAGATTGTAAAAGTGAGACAGGATCAAAGAAAGCATGAAAACCTACCTCAACTCAACTGGCCTTTATTGGTCAAGCAAACTTCCACTGAACTAAGAATCCCTCTTACATTCATTCCAGACCCACAAAAGTCAATCTGGTTGGAAGCAATCCAGAAAGTTCTTCCTGAAGAATTCCAGCTTCTCAGGGAACAATAGGACACTGTCAATAGTTTCTGACACTTTTGTTAATTTTTGTCCTGGAAGAGAATGGAAGAAAATTGTGCATTCTATCCCACCCACCTTCATGAGTTTGGAATAAAACCCACATATATGTATATATCTATACATAATGTTCTTTCCATAAAGTCAAAAACTCTTGTTTTTCCAGAGTTTCTAACTGCATACAGAGTCATATCAAGGCTCTATCTACTTCCCTACCCCATGTATTCAAATAACATTTAGAAAAGTCTGCAGTCTCTTATCTACACCAATAATCTGTTCTACATCACTGGGGGAAAGGTGATCCCAGTTAAGTTGGCAGACAGATTCTGGGGGGGGGGATCAATTTATAAAATATGAAGGGTACCAGTAAGCAAAATATAGAATAACAGTAAGCCTATCAGAAGATGCTTCCTCAGTGGTTTAATTATAGGATTAGTGCCTCTGAAAGGTTAACATGTAAAATTATGTGATCAACCTCTATTATCCTGGTATAGATAGTGTTTTACTGTGAGTTCTGTTTTATAATAGGGTTAAGGCTAGTAGCAAATGCATCGTGAGTATCCTGAAAAATAAATCACATAGACCAGGGGTAGGCAACCTTTCCCCTTTAAGGGCCAAGGGACTTCAGCTCCCAGAATCCCAGGAGCTATTGGCCAACATGGGACTATTGGCCAACATGGCTGAGGCTTCTGGGAGCTGAAGTCCCTCGGCCCTTAAAGGGGAAAGGTTGCCTACCCCTGACATAGACCAATCTTCCCAGGCCCCATATATAGTAGTCCTGTATTTCTTCGTAGGGATCCAGCCACTTTTTCTCCACTGTGCCAGGGAGAAGTACTATATTTGCCCACTGACTACATAATTTATTTATGTTCTGGAAACAATCCAGGGACTAGCAGCTGATGGCTTGAGACCCACACTGATCCATGGATCACTAGTTCTAGTAGCACTGCTCTAGCCATGTTAGGCTACAATTTTTGCTACCAGCACCCAAAGAGTGATTATTACCCAGGAATGATAGGGGTAATAGCCTATCATGTGTGGAGGACACCAAGGGAAACCTGGTCTACATTGTTGTTTATATTTATTTGTTTTGTTTATATCCCACCTTTCTCTGATTATGGGACTCAGCAGCTCGCACAGTTGAAACAAGATGCAACCTGATAACAAAGTTAAAAAAACAATTAAACAAGTTGTTAGACTAAAGTGTCATTAACTTTTTAAAAATGTAACATTGTTAAAAAATATAACAATGAAAATAAAAATTGTAACCAAAATCTCTCTATGGGAATTATAATTAGCTCAATTAATTTTGCTGTGCTACAAAACAGCTGTAGGATATATCCTAGAGTTGACAGAGATGTTGGAAATATCAGGAAAGACAGAGGCAGAATTCTGTCAATAAACTGAATGTTTATTAAGGGAACCACACATCAAGACATGCACTCACTCATACACTCATACAAGAGGCTCAGGAATAAAGGAATTTGTGTTGGAATAGACCCACAGGCTGAACTAACGGTGATACTTACTAAAGCTTGGTATGACTCTGGAGGGTCTAATTGGATAGTAGGCACTAGACCAGGGGTAGGCAACCTTTCCCCTTTAAGGGCCAAGGGAC